TGACATTTATATTTATTTATTTATATATTTTATTTGTATTTATTAATTTAACCTCGTACGCGAATTGAAATATTTTTTGAAGGAGTATGCATAAAATATCGTGGAAGTTTTTATAATTATTAATTACAACAATTGCTTCATTTATTGAGAACAATTTGGTGATAATTCACGAAAACGACAGCCCTCAATTAGTATTAGCAGACGACCTTACCCTATTATTGGTAGTCACCGATAATTTATTAAGTTACTTTTGTCTAAACACAACTTTTAGTACGTACACCGGTATAGTCCTACTCCCTCAGAAATCCGAACTAATTGCTGCCTGCAGGAGAGTATTACTGACTAATTCGGATTACAGAGATCGTAATAGTGAGGGTAATTCGAAAATTCGTAATGTCTAGGTCGTCTAGTTTTCCTTATGACCCTCTCACTCATTCACTTTCTCGCTCACACTCTCTGGTTCTTCTCTCTCACGCTCACTCTCACCTCCCTCTCTCTCTCTCTCTCTCTCTCTCTCTCTCACTCTCTCTCTCTCTCTATNTACATATATATATATATATATATATATATATGTGTGTGTGTGTGTGTGTATATATATTTATACCTCTCTCTCTTTTTTATTTTTAACAATAAAAGACTTGATAGACTACAATATTGCATGCACTATGTATAAAATAATAAAATTAAAAAAACCTCAGTGTATATACACATGAGAAGATCAAATTTAAAGCTGACTTTCATGAAGGAATTAAAATAGTCATATCCTGGTTATAAAGCATAAAACTAAAACGTTTAGTAATTTTTTTTTAGTTAAAGGGGCAAAAGTGTTCTCAAATTTACCAAAATGCAAAATATAGCCATTTAAAAAATCTAAAAAAATAATCTACTTTCTAAACATGTATAAAAAGAAAGGCTAAAAAGTTTAAGAGTTGTAAATTAAATTCAATAAATAAAAAATAAATAAAAAAATGTCTCTTCATATGAATGTTATATAAGTTTAAAAATATCTTACTTTCATTATGTCAAAAAAATTTTTCCTGTATGTAAATCCAAATAATTGTTTAATTGTAACATGATACCTCGTATAGGATTTTTTTTTTGTTAGAAGTGTTTGATATCTGGTCTTGCTCAACTGCACTAGTAAATTTTTTTGGAAATAATTCTCTAAGTAAGGAGAGATTAACTTTTTTTATTTGAATTTGTTTTTTGTCAAGTTAATCTTATATACATGGTTTTTATTTATTAATGATGTATGAAAAAGAAATTGTTTTGTTAGGATTAAGAAGAGTCATTGAAATCTACCATTGTAATTCACTTTAGAGTAATGTACGTATAAATAAAACGGAAATCTCTCTCCCTCTCTCTCTTTCTCTCTCTCTCTCTCTCTCTCTCTCTCTCTCTCTCTCTCTCTCATTCACTCTCTCTCTCTATCTATCTATATGTCTATCTATCTACCTATCTCTTTCTCTCTTTTACTCTTACTCCCTCTCATTTGAAGTTGTTTATATCTTTAACTAGTCTACGAATTGTATATTACCAGTAAATATGTTATACATATTAAGCATATACTTATTTTCTTAATAACATGTATAATAACGTTTAAAATTGTAAATTCCTATAGCTTTATGATTTTATATATTATATTCTCTTCTTCTATTGATAAGTAATTTTTTAAGTTCGGATGGGTTGTGGTCAGTCAGCTGTGAGATATTTCTCAATAGCCAAGCTTTCATCCTATATTTGACATTCCTGATATGATGTTGATGTAGAACATAGATAATCATCAGTCAATGAATAATAGTAAATGCACGTATAGAGGAAATGAACATCAATCCAAGGTTCAAGATTGATTTTTAAAAGGATCATGAAATAATCCGCAAAAATGCGAGAACAGTGGGCAGCGTCGACGGCACAATTCTGCTTTAATTGTGGAGTACCACTTTTATACGTTTTACTAGTAGTCACCACAATAATTTGGTAAGTGGTCAAAGTAAGTAAGAATATTGATTGTCCCTCTTACTTCAAGAAGCCAAATCTTTGATTTGATTTACAACGGATTTGCAAGTAATATATTACAGCAAGGTAAAATTCGTAGTTTGGTAGTTTTGAATCATTTTGGTCCGTCTAACCTCGCTATTTTGATCTGTCTGACGCTTAAACTGGGGCTTCTAAAAAAAAATTCAAGGAGAAAAGCTAAAACTGGGAGGCTAGGCAGAACAAAATGATCGGACACAACCCAACTACGCGCTCATCACTGCGCAAATCCAAAGAGTAATTTTCACTAGTAACTATTTTTTTTAGCTGAAACTCAGCGCCCGTAGAAAGAATAACTTCAAAAACTGTAGTCATTTATATAATAAATCGAAGAAACGTGATCAGAAATGACAGCTCTTGTTTTTTTAGATTCCTTTGTTTTTTAAACATTTTCAACCATACTAATTAATAATTTTGAGTCGTACTGACACCACTGGCTTAAAGAACCACATCGAAAATTACTTTT